TGCACCTTGTTGTCTCGGATTCTCCAGCATCTGCAGTTCCTACTATCTAAGAAGTATATATGGCTTGGCATCAGAAGTGCGATGGGCCAAGTGCTGGAAAACGGGATTAGAATAGTTAGATGGTTGTTGCTGATCAGCACAAACTCGATTATGAGGAAAAGGCAAATGTTTGGCACAAAGTCAGAATGCTGAGAAAGCTGGTGCAGACATAAGGGGCTGAATGGCCTCTTTCTGCACTATAACAATTCTGCAATTGTGATTCTCTATCTTTCACATCCATTGTTAAGAAAGCAAGCCTATTTGGTTTGGCGTGGTATTCAAATGACATGATGAGAAAACATTGCAATGCTGTTTAAAGAGTTTTCTTGATGACTCAGTATGCAATTGTGGTACAGAATCCAGGGAGACTCCAAGGTCCATTCCTCATCTGTACCAAGTAAGCTGACCTTAGCTCAGGGGCGAGGGAATACTGCTATTTGCTTTCTCTGCTAAGGAGGAAACCAAAGTGAAGCCTTGCAATTCGGAATGATGCCTGTTGTAAAAAGTGCACCTGTGAGTGCAGAGCATACAAACAATTCCACCAAACCTGGTCAACTTAGGAAAGTGCTATCAATGCCCATGGACCAGTATTCAAATACACAATTCCTTCAGCGGAGAAAGATGACAATGGAACAGAAAGATTTTGAAATAACTAACTCCATCTCACTAAAGCAACGGTCCCAAAGTTTACTTTATTACAGTCCACAGTTGCCTCCCTCCCATTGTCCCCCTTGGCACCACTTTCCTCCTAACCACCCCTCTCCCTCTCATCATCTTTCTCCCACTCTCTGATTAATCCATTGGCTGCCTCTCTCGAATCTGGAGTGCCTGGAGCTGCCTTTCTGTTGCTCATAACTTCACCCCTGCCACCACTCTCCCTCTTGCAGCTGGTAGGATCTTGCAACTACTCCTTAATGGATTTGTCAGGGTGGTGGTGAGGGGGGCATTGCAGTCAGACAGG